CTACCAGGGCCCCTCCCATAGAGTGGTGGTGGTGATGGTGGTGTGCCATAGTTGGTTCTGACTCACAGCGACCCTGCATAGGGTTTCCGAGGCTGTCAATCTTTACTGGCGCCGCAGAAAGCCTCATCTTTCTCCCGCAGAACAGCTGGTAGTTTTGAACTGCTGACCTTGAAGTTAGCAGCCCAACTCGTAACCACTACGCTACCAGAGCGCCTTAGTGTTGGCTTTTTAGTTCATTTTGTTTCAGTACAATTTAATATCAATCAGAGTAATGATTTCTTATAGTGAAATGAAGAGCTCAGCTTAAACAATTAAAACTCTAACCCAAAAGTAGGGAGTACAGTGATAGGATAAACACTGTAGGATAAGCACTGGATTGCAAAATGACAGCAGTTTGAGCTCACTAGCCAGTCAGTGGGAGAAAGACGGTGCTTTCTGTTCCCAGGAAACCCTGTAAAGGGTCGAAATGAGTCAGAATTGACTAGATGGCACTTAATAACAATTCAAAGACAACAACCAGAATTAGAAGGTGACACCATTAATGTTCCTTCCATTCCCATATGTGTAACTTACTGTTTTGTTGGCTAGTGAAATGTAATGGTTAGAAACGGAATTTATAGTTTATGGAAATTATCTAATTAAACATGTCACTTAAAACACACACACACACACAGTAGTAACCTGTGAGGATGCTTTGAGTTGTCTCAAAGACTGAAGGCTGCTTTGGGAGCTGAGTGGGTGGGCACTGGGACCATAGTCCTGCAATGCACAGAACACAGTCACATAATGAAGACCTATCCCCTATCTACATGATTTTTGAGAGTCACACTGATAATTCATGTAGATGTTCAAATTTATTTAAGCCTGAGACCTAATTTATATATAAAGCAAGCACTTTTTATAGTTTTTTGGTGATCTTTATAGTGTAGTTAGGTGCTACTGAGTTAGTTCCAACTCATACCAATATTATGCACAACAGGCTGAAACACTGCCCAGTCTTGTAACATCCTGGAATGTTACACTTGAGCCCTTTGTTGCTCCCAGGTGTGTCACTCCATCTCCTTGATGGTCTTCCTTTATTTTTTGCTGACCTTCTACTTTGTAATTCATAGACATTTGATACTTATATAGCACCACACCAGGACTCCTTTGTTATTTATAGACACATACATATGAATGTGAGGAGTCTGTATATATGATGTGGTGCTGGATTGTGAGGTCAATGTGAACCACAGGGTCAACAGTTCAAACCGAAAAGCCCTTTCTTGGAAACCCTATGCAGGCTCACTGAGTTGGAACTGACTTGATGGTAGTAACAACAACATATAAAACCATTTATCATTTCAACATTTTTGCTACATACACACTTCATCATGTTACACAACCAACACCACTATCAGTTTCCAAATTTTTCCATAGCCCTTAACAGGAAGTCACTGAGTTCTGGTGGCACAGTGGTGAAAGCACTTTGCAGCGAATTGAAAGGCCAGTGATTTGAACTCTCCAACTACTCAGCAGGAGTCTATTTCCATAAAGATTTACAGCCTTCAAAACCACGTGGCGCAATTCTACTCCATCATCTAGGGTTTGGGCATATTATCAGGGGGACCAGTCCCTGGAGAAAGATACCATGCTTAGTAAAGTGAGGGTCCGTGAGAAAGAGGAAGCCCCCCAGTAAGAACTGATACAGTGGCAGCACAATGGGGTGAAGAGTAACAGTGATGGGACAGGACCAGGCAGGCTTTCAGTCTGTGGTACATAGTGTCGCTATGAGTTGGAGCCAACTCAACTCAACGGCAGCTAACAACAACAACATTTTATTGTGTGAATATACCACATTTTATTTATCTGTTCATTTTTTGTTGGATAGTTAGGCTGTTTCTACCTTTTTGCTATTGTGAACTGAGCTGCAGTGAGCAGTATGTTTGCTTTCCTGCTTTCAGTTCTCTTGGATACATACCTGGAGTAGAATTGTTGATGTGGTGCTGCAGGACAGTCACTGGACTGCTAGCCACAAGGTCATCGGTTCAAACCTACCCTCTGCTCCTTGGAAACCCTACACAGGGTCGCTATGAGTCAGAACCAATGTGTTCGCACTAAATTGCAACAATGGTAATTATATGTTTAATTTTTTGAGGAGAAAATTAAACTGTTTCCCACAGTGCCTATACAGTCCCACCTGCAATGAAGATTCCAATTTTTCCACATCCTCACCAACACCTGTTGTTTCACACTTTTTATTCTGTTGTTGTTATTGAGAATATACACAGCAAAACATAGACCGATTCAAGTTTCCAGATGTAAGAGCTGGTAATACTGATTACGTTCTTTGAGTTGTACAATCATTCCTACCCGAGGTCTTCTCTCACAGCACACACTCACTGCCCTTAAGGATTCGATGAGTTGCTGCTATCAGTTTGATCCACAAGATCTTAAAGACCATAATGCTGAAGAATGACCTTTTTTATTAGTTAAGCTAAACTATTATTTGGTTTTAACATGACTTCAGGGGATATTTTAAATTTAATCTAGAAACCATGAGAATATGAAATTCTGTTCTGTGTTTCCCCTCCTTGGTTCAGGAACCCTCTATGGAATTTTTGATCAGTTAATGGTGCCATCCAGTGCTGGTCACACGGCAAAGGAGGCAGTTGTTCATGGAGGCAATTAACCACACATTCCATATTCTTTTCCCATTCCTGACTCACCTTTCTCTGTTGCTACATACAGATGAATAAAGATGAATTTTTGTGCCCTGTATGGTCATTTGCAAGCTTATAAGACCCCAGACACTATGCAACAAACTAGGACATAGAACACAGGCACTAAACACAATATTAGGCCAATTAACTAGACTGTCCCATGAAACTGTGACCCTAAACCTCCAAACCAAGAATGATATCCAATGTGGTGTTGCTGGGTGTGCATCAGCAGCCTCAGCAGCTACTCTTTTCTTTCTTTTTTAGGTTATTGTTGTAAATGTATGTTACACAACTTTTTCCAATTCAATTTTAACAGGTGGTTTCTGATCATTTTTTGTTCATAACCATCTTAGTGGAGGTAAAATGGTATCTCATTGTCGTTCTGATCTGCATTTCTCTAATGACTAATGAGTGTAGTGGCTCAGTAGACTAAGCATTGGACTATGAACCACACGGCTGATGGTTCAAGCCTACCAAAGATGAGCTGCCTGCTCCCATAAAGATTTAGAGCTTCAGAAACACTTGTTGTTAAGTGCCTTTGTTAAGTCGGTTCCTGTATAGGGTTTCCGAGGAGCAGTTGGTGGGTTTGAATCACCAACCATGTGGTGCACAGTTCAGTGCTGATCCTACAGCGCTACACCAGGAAACCCTATACAGGGTCGCTAAGTGTGGGAACTGACTCACTGGCACTTGACAACAACAACAACTAACAACTCTAAGCATTTTTTCATGTACCCTGAACTTTCTTGGAATGCAACTACCTTGTAAATGAAGGAGAGAGAGTGCTACTGTTTGTCTAGAACTTTATCATTCTGGAAAATCCATTACCAAAGGCAGTGCTGCTTTTGAGTTGACATTTGAGTTCACAATTGCTATACACCTAGTTTGCACCTGTCAAGGTTATGATCCTCCAAGAAGCACCAGACAGCTTCACAGTGCCTTCTGCTACAGCCAGGCCCAGGCAGTGACATACTAAGCCTCATGTCACTTATTAGACACTCTCTTCCTTGGCTGCTTCTGCACCATTACATCCGGGGTCTTATAGGGATACTTACGAAAGTACGTATACAGATAGGTTATCAACTATGACTTTCATTTAAGGAAATTAAGAAGGCAGGACTACTAAAATAGGAAATGTTGGGATTAACAGGGTGACAACCAATGGTACAAGCCCTCCTTGAAGATTATACAGAAGAAAACAATCCTTTTTTGTTCCTGTTTGTTTCTGTATGCACCCATCGACTTAGTGTTACAATTCTTTACCAAATAACCAGTCTACCTCTCTCTTAATAGCATTCTGGTGTTCTCTAAGCAAGCCTACCAGGAGTCAGTCAGAACTAACCATCTTTTCCCTGCCTGTACTGTGGAACACAAAACTTGAAGAACACATTTGTAAAAAAGCAGGAGGTACAGAGAGACCAGAAGGGCTCTGCTTTCCACCAGAGAGACTTGGAGTCGTATCACATGGAAATGGGATTTAATGACCTTTATACCCCCCCCCCGCTGATAAAACAGATTAGAAAACGGAAAACAGAAAACAGTTACACAATGGTAAGAGATATAATTTTACACCAACGAGTGAGATATTAGAAATGCTGAATCACACACAGTCCCTGTGGTCTGCAAACTTAATATGTATGTGCCTTTAAACAAACCAAAAAATTGATTAACTGGAGAAACAAGTTTTCAGCCATAATCAACATTATTACCTTCTGTAAAAGTTTTAAAAAGTTTCTAGAGTTCTGTCTCTAGAACCGGAGAGCTTCTATCTTGAGACAAGCAGTAATTGATTGCTGTTGGATCCGTTCTGACTCGTGGTCACCCTATGTGTGTCAGAGCAGAACTGTGCTCCATAGGGGTTTCAATGGCTGATTTTTCAGAAGGAGAGTGCCAGACCTTTCTTCCAGGGTGTCTCTGGTAGACTTGAACCTCCAGCCTTTAGTTAGCAGCTCAGCATGTTAACCATTTGTGCCACCCAGGGACTCCTTTAGAACAAGGACAGTGTGTCCAAAATATGACAATTCCTTTTTAATGCCCTTCACAGTGACTTTTAAGCAGAAAGCATAAGAACATGTCATCAGAGGAGATGGTATGGCTGGTGCAGGTACAATGTGTAATTTCAAGGAGGTGGAAGAGTTTGTTGAGGTGTATAATGGGTTTACTAGGGACAGGAGGCGGGGGCAGAGCAGCCAGCTGTCTAGCCTTTCCAGAATGTGCCTGAAGGCAGGGTGCAGAGGTTATGTAGGTGGTCAAATGAATCAGGCTGATGGTATTTCCTTGACATATTTTCAGCTGTAGCTAGGTGGGGTCTTGCTTGGCTCGTTTGGGACTCAGCAGCTGTTCAGGCGGTGGGGTCTTCCTGGCTGTCACCCTCCTGAGAGAGTGCAAGCTCTGTATCTGCTGCAGACGTAGGTTGAGCTCCTGCTCACAGGCTTGTTGAACAGTTTCAGTTTTCTTTATGTCCCAATTCAAAGTAACAGCCAATGCTTTGGGGTCTTCCTGGGTAACCAACTGTAGCAACAACAGGGATCATTGATAACCACTCGTTCCGCTATCCCCATCTGCTGCTCTACTGACTTTGCTTTAGGAGAGGAGAACATGGCATCACTGATTTATGCTATGTCTTTACACCGAAATGCCACGACCAGATTTATTTTATATTTATTAAATTGTCACGTGCCTTTTCTTACCGTACACACTAACAGGAAAGGGTCCACAGGAAAAACAACAAAAAAACTTTCCTTGGAGCAACTCTAGTCTCTCACCTACAGGAAATTTAGCCAAGATAAGGTCAGTTTCCTTCCCTTTTCTCTAGAACAGGATAGTAGTTAGGGACAGGAAAGAGGACAAAGAAGCAGAAAAAGCACCTACCCTGATTGGGGGGCGGGGTCCCTTTATCAGGTTTCTAGTTACCCTGGTCTCAGCTAGCCTGAGTGATGCCCTCAAGGGGTGTTACTTTCTGTGTCCCAGGACTTACCCTGGTTCTTCTTCCACCACTAACAGAACTGGGAGTCATCTCAGAGGCCTGAGTCTAGCCACACACCCCTGTCAGTTTAGTCACTCAAAGGATAATGCTTGATGATCTGAGGAGGCACACCATTTAAAAAGCACTTTGTAGTTAGGGCTTAGATGTAAACAGTTTGTAAATAGTTGGGCATATCATACACAAAATTATCAGCCAAGATTCAGGGTCTGCAGAAGTTAAAAACAAAACAAAAACTTGCCTACCACTGGAACCCTACAGCCCTAGAGCAAGTCATTTCTGCAGCTCAGGGTCCCTGGTTCTTGCCCACCTCCAAATCCTGACTCGATAAGCTCAGTTCCGGAGCAGGCTTCTCCTTCAGTGCAGTGAGGACTTGGCTGGTGAGTGCAGTTCTGGAGACTGTCTCTCGGCTACTGCCTGTGTCAACTGCATCCATGTCTTCAACAAACCCAGCTTTGGACTCTGCAAAGAGTCATCACACTGTGTGATGAAAATGACCCAAGCCATCTGTCAGGCAAGAAACCTAGCCTGTCACTTCAAGATCCTGGCAGCTGTGGCTTCAGGACTTTTGACTGCATTGTAAACATTTTGTTCTTTTTCAAGGAAATGCTCTATAAACACTAGGTTCTCAATGTAAAACCCCCAACCAACAGCCCTACCTTCCTGCTTTGACAAGATGCTGCCCTCCTTCTCCAAAGCCTGCAGGTAAAGCTCCAGGAGTTGTTTGGACTGACGGGCTTCCTCTCTGTGGTCAAGCACCTGCTGGACGGTGTTCTGGAGCCTCTGGACTGCCGCACAGCTTTGGCTGAGTTCCAGAGCCAGCTCTGAACACGGGACATCGATAAGCACCTAATAAATAAACAGGAATTCTAAGAAACATCAAAGTAATTCCGATCCATCAATTCCAAGGGTGCCATTTTATCTATTTACCAGCGTACCCAGTATGACTGGCTGAGAATCAAGAGAAAGGCATGCATTTTTTTTTTTTTTTTAATTTTCCTCTGGTAACAAAATGAGGAAAAAGATGCCTTGGTGCCACATTAAGGAAAAACAAAACAAAACAACTTTGATATGAAAACAATTGTACAAGAGAAAGGTATATGATACAATGACTCAATAGGAGTTTGTTTTAAGCAGAAGTTCCTCTAATAATTTTGATGTGAATATTTTGTATATGTTTACACAGAAAAATTTTACCTTAAACCACTGTAAAAGTTTCTATTTGTAAAGTATAACTTAGAGCCAGGGTTTTTTTTTTTTTTTCTTTCCTTTTTGGACTTTCTTTAAGTTTTTATTGTGAATTGAGTGATAGTTTACATGGGGGAACATCAGTTTTACACTCACCCTATATTTGTTTCATTGCAGTGATTACAATCGTCTTCATTTCATTGCAATGATTATAATCCCATGCATGCTTCATCATTCAACAGTATTTGCTTCTATTCCCTCTGGGGTTTTTTTTGGATGTGCACCACAACACTCATGACTATACAATCATACAAACAACCAAAGGGCACACCCTGCAAGCCTGCCCCTCGACCACCAGCACACAGCCCCTCTCCTTCCATGAGTCTAGAGTCCTCAGATGCTCTGTCTCTCCATGTCATCATCTCTGTCTCTATCTCTGGCATTGCCGCTTTTCTGGGTAGGGTCCCACACTCCGCTCCTGCTCTTCTCCCTTGATGGTCCCAGGGTGCTCTACTCTGGGACTGTAAGATCAACCACTCACCCTTTTTGCTACAAAACTTCTACCTTTACAGTTGTGACAATCGCAATTAGTCATGATAACAATTACTCATTATTGAATCATGAGAGTCTTGTCCTCATCTCCTTTCACCAGACCTGTCTAGTCAGGATGAAAACCACTCAGTGGGGATTCTGACTTCCCCCCGCACACTCTGAATCTAAACTTCCTCTTGAAAACTTGTAAGCCAGTCACTTTGTATCTTTACAGCCCCCCATTTTAGGTAGCCAATGTCTAAATTGTCTATCCCTATCAACCCTGTGTACAGAGGGGATGGGAATAATCCTTGCTGTAAAGATTCTTTCCCTCTTGGTTGGTATTTTAAGCTACTACATCCATAAGTATAGGTCAAGTTAATCAGATTGTAGTGATTTACACTTGTTTTCTTTAAAAAAAAAAAACAAAACAAAAACAAAAAACTCCCCCCTCTTTTCCTTCCTTTACTTGGGTTCTGAACATCCAGCCATTGAAGCTAGATCCAACGGGCACTATCTGCAAGTTTGGGCACCCTTGTGCATATCCCCTAACTTCATATCAACTGGACGCTTCACTCTCAGAGAGCCAGTTTTAAAAAATGAATAGTATTATATTGTGTTTTTGGTAAAAGTTTGCACAGCCATTTAGGTTGTTATTCAACAATTTCTACTTATTCAGTGACACTGGTTACATACATTCTTCATAAGGCATGGGCATTATTATTATTATTTCCATTCTGGTTGTTCTGTTTCCATTAATCTAGTTTCCCTACCCACTTACATCTTCATCTTTGTTTTAAAGTAATTGTTAACCATCAGGTTTCATGTAAGTGATTTTTAAAAGAAGCATGGTGCTTATGAGTGGTATTCTTTTATTTTGTGAACTGTTATTTTGTGATCTGTTATTTAACTAAAACATGACCTTGGGGACTAGTTTTGGTTCAAGGTTTAAAAAATAACTCAGGGCCGTAGTCTTAGGGGAGTCTTCCAGTTTCCACCTGTCCAGTTTTAAAAGAACATGTTCAGCCTGTGAATTACATAAGACCTGACTTGTTATACCCTAAATCTGCTAAGATAATAATTTTTAAAAGGCTCAATCTTTTTGCATACACAGTACTAGATTAAAAAACTGTCCTTACCAGAGAAAAACTACTGAAACTGATGGGCAGTGGTTCTAAACTCACAACACTGTAAAACTATCACTTCTATTTAGTTTCAAAATTGTTTCATCACCACTAAAAGGAGACATTGGACTCATTAAGAAGTCACTCCATATTCTCCTCG